TACATGTTTGGCCAATCAGAGTCTGCCTTGGGACTTTTGCCAGAACTTTTGGGAAAGAGACCCTTTCTTCCCACTGGTGTCACCAGGAATGCAAGCCCAGAGATGTTGTTGGCCATCTTTGTCACTGCTTGGGGAGAGTCTGCCTGAGAACGAAGCCTACACACAGGAAAAGTGAAACAAACAGGGAAGGAAGGAGGGAGGGATGCTGCGGGGGTCAGATATTCCCTGTCGAGCCTCACCTCCTGGTATGCATGCTTTGTATAGTCTCTTCCCACACCAAGTCGAAGTCAGAGCTGTTCTTTGTATCCAAGAGAATATGGCGGAAACCCAGGTCATAAAAAGGATTGCTGTTTCTGCCTTGGTTTCCTGGATTGCTCCCTCTAGGAGAAGCAACTACCGTGTTGTGAGGTCACTCAAGCAAGCCTACAGAGAGGCCCATGTGAAGAGTAAGTAAAATCACCGGCCAACAACCAAAGCCAGTCTGAATGGGCCACTTTGGACGTAGACACTGCAGCCCCAAACGACATCTGGTCTGCAGCGTCATGGCAGACCTTAAGCCAGAACCATCCAGCTCAGTTGTTCTGAGGTTTTTTTTGTTTTGTTTTGTTTTGTTTTTTAAGGTGTAATTGATTCTTGAACTTCAGAAACAGTGAGAAATGATAATTGGTTGTTGTTTTAAGCCATAAATGTTTGGGTGATTTGTTACCCAACAATTGATAACTAATGCAGATGGACTGATTCCTAACGACTCACCCCAACCCTCAGCTGAGGCAGGAGTGGGAATGTGATCCATACCTAGCCAATCAGAACACTGCCTCTCTCTGCCCTCAGTGATTGGTTCAAAATGAGCACCTGATCCAAATCAGACCAGTCAGAGGCAACCCCAGGATTTTTGCGGGAATCTTCAAGGTAGAGGCTTTCTCCTCCCATAGAATTTGCCTCATTGGGTGCTTGGGTGGTTTAGTCATTAAGTGTCAGTGTTTGGCTCAGGTCATGATCCCAGGTACTGGGTTGAGCCCCACATCGGGCTCCCTGCTCAGCAGGAAGCCTGCCTCTCCATCTCCCACTCACCCTGCTTGTGCTCCCTCTCTCGCTGTGTCTGTCTCTGTCAAATAAATAAATAAAATCTGAAAAAAAAAAAAAAAGTTGCCTCATTCATAAAAAGTGAGCATGGGGCTGCTGGCAGCCATCTTTAACATCTTAGAGAGTAAACCTGAGAATGAAGACAATGCAGATTAAAAGCAAAGTCAGAATATGGGAAAGACAAATTTTAAGTGACACTATCTGAGACCTGGGATCCAAAGACACATAAAATCAGAACTACCACCTCTTCTTTTCAGTTACTTGAACCAGTAGATTCCCTTTTTTTTTTGCCTAAGCCAGTTTTAGTCATAACCAGAAGTCCTAACTGTTGCAAGACTTCATGTATTGTTACCAGGAAGTTCCTAAAACAAAACAAAACAAAACAAAACGAAACAAAACAAAACCTCTCACAATCAATCTGTAAGTCAGTAGTTTTAAGTAGGGAAATAATGACCATAGAAGCAGGGACTGGAAGAAAAAAACCAGCAGTGAACTTGAATCAGAAAACCTTCAGTTCCACCTTGGCCACTGACCCCCACCCCACAGTGTGACTGTGGGTCAGGGGCTCAGCTATTAAGCTTTTTAAATTTTTAAAAAATATTTAAAAAAGATTTTGTTTATTTATTTGACAGAGAGAGAGAGAGAGAGAGAGAGATCACAAGTAGGCAGAGAGAGAGGCAGGGAAGCAGGCTCCCCGCCTAGCAGAGAGCCCGATGTGGGGCTCGATCCCAGGACCCTGGGATCATGACCTGAGCCGAAGGCAGAGGCTTTAACCCACTGAGCCACCCAGGTGCCCCAAAGCTTTTTAAAAAAATTTCAAGTTAGTTAACATATAGTATAGTATTGATTTTTGGAGTAGAATTTAGTGATTCATCACGTATGTATAACACCCAGTGCTTATCAGAACAAATGGCCTAGAGTCCATCACTCATTTAGCCCATCACCCCACCAACCTTCCCTCCAGCAGCCCTCAATTTGTTCTCTATTGTTAGGAGTCTCTTATGGTTTGCCTCCCTCTCTGTTTTTTGTTTTTGTTTTTGTTTTTTTTTAAGATTTAATTTATTTATTTGAGAAGGATACAGAGAGAGAGAGAGAGAGAGAACATGAGTAGGGGGGAAGGGGCAGAGGCAGGGGGAGAAGCAGACTTCCCACCGAGCAAGGAGCCCCATGTGGGACTTAAACCCGGGACTCCAGGATCCTGACCTGCACCGAAGACAGACCCTCAACCGACTGAGCCACCCAGGCACCCCTCCCTCTCTGTTTTTATCTTATTTTATTTTTCCTTCCCTTCCCCTATGTTCACCTGTTTTGTTTATTAAATTCCACATGAGTGAAATCATATGGTATAATCAGATGGTATTTGTCTTTCTCTGACTGGCTTATTTTGCTTAGCCTAATACACTCTAGTTCCAACCATGTTGTTGCAAATGGCAAGATTTCATTATTTTTGATGGTTGAGTAATATTCCTGTGTGTGTGTGTGTGTGTGTGTGCGCGTGCGCAGGCGTGCACCACATTTTTTTTTTTTTTTTTTGGAGAGGAAGAGAGAGAGGAAAGGATGGGGGGGGTGCAGAAGGAGAGGGAGAGAGACAAACTTAAGCAAGCTCCATGCCCAGTGCATAGCTGGATGCAAGGCTCAATCTTACTACCCTGAGATCATGACCTGAGTCAAAATCAAGAGTTGGGGGCTTATCCAACTGAGCGACCTGGGGGCGCCCCCACATCTTCTTCATCCATTCATCAGTCAATGGACATTTGGGCTCTTTCCATAATTTGTCAGCCTCTATGAACCTTAACCACCACACCTCTCTAGGGAGGGAGGGACACTCACTGCCTGGCCAGTTTGTTGAGATGGCTGAATGGGGATGCATTTGAAAGGGCAGAGCCTGGGGGCACCTGGGTGGTACAGTCCTTCAGTATCTGATCCTTGTTTCCAGCTCAGAGTCCTGATCTCAGCAGAGTCTGCTTAAGACTCTTTCTCTCCCTCTGCCTCCCCCCAACCCTGCCCCTGCTATCTCTCTCTCAAATAAATAAGTCAGGAAGAAAAAGAAAGAAAGAAAGAAAGAAAGAAAGAAAGAAAGAAAGAAAGAAAGAAAGAAAGAAAGAAAGAAAGAAAGAAAGAAAGAGGGAGGGAGGGGGGAGGGAGGGAGGAAGGAAGGAAGGAAGGAAGGAAAGAAAGCAAGCAGAGCTTCGCATATGGTTAGGACTCAATTTACAGAAATTTGCGAAGAAACTTTCCCATATAGACACACTCCCCCTTCTCAGCAGTTTCTACACAACTGCCCCAGTTCTTCCTGAACATCTGGATGTCTTCCAACAACTTATACTAGAGCAGAAAGGCACCGTTCTCTTGCCCTGGCTTCCATCTTTGTACAGCTGGGGCATGGGTCTATGGGATAAGAAGTCAGAAGCCATCAGGCTCCTGCTCACAGATGTCTGGATACCCAAACACAACACCCCACCTCTCTCACAGAGACTTGGGGCATAAATTTCAAAAGGTGGCAGAACTGCCTGTTCAAAGACAAGTTTAGGGGATCAGAAAGTACTCAGCCTATCATCCTTCACTCCTCCTCAGTTGGTGGCACCGTTTTTCTCCGTTATTCAGGCTGTCACCATGGAACCTTTGTACAAATGGAAGCCACTCCTTCCTCCAGACTAGTGCTATCTGGCAGAACTTTCTGTGATGATGCAGATATTCTCTGTATTGTCTAACACGGTAGCCACACGTGTCTATTGGATCTCCTCAAATGTCACACCCTAAGACCATTATCCCCTCACACTTTAGTATTTTGTATTTTAGTATTTTGTCTTATGTCTTAATTGCACTTATCACTCTCTGCGACCATCCTGTTTGATTATTTATAGGACTAACCTTTACCACCCTTCTAGCATGTAAGCAGAGAGCTTGGCTGACACTACTCTTTTCCCCAGCACCGGATTCAATGCCTGGCATAAAGCGAGGGCTCTGAATTTGGGGATGAATGAATGGATAGGGATCAGAGAAACCTGGCTGAACTCGGCTCTGCCTTACTCTTACTCGCTCAGTTTAGGCAAGTCTCCGTTTTGTGTTGTGTGAAGTGGGAGCGGAGCGAGTAGGATGTTGGCCTTGTTTTCTTCCAAGCTTCTGGCCTCTAGCCAGCTGCTGGACTTCTGGCACTTCTGTTCACCACCTGTATAATGGGTGTGAGCTCACCCCAACGTCTCGGGGTGGTAGCGCTGCCTTATAAGGCAGCAGAGCCCAGGGCGGGCTAGGCCGTGTGGGTGGAGAGAAATCACAACATCCGGCTGCAGGGGCGGGGCGGGGGCCGGGAGGCCGAGGAGCCGCTGGGGAGGCCAACCACCTCCTCGGGTCCTCTCCCCGCCTCCGATGTGCGCTCTCCAGAAGGGGCCAACCCAAAGGAATACGGCTGAACACATGGCTCAAAACAGTTCAAAGCCGGCCCGCAGGAGGCCCAAGACAGCAAACCTCCGCAAAGCCCAGGCTAGTCACAGGGACCCGGGCCACACCATCTGCCCCAGTTAAAGTGCAGCGAAGAGAAGGACGGACGCCCCTTTTATCCAATTAAACATCCGGCCTCCGGGGCGTGACCCAGAGGCCCCACCTCTGTTGTCCTAACAGAAGGCTCGGCCCTAATTGGCAGTTAGCTGTCCTACCAAGGCCCAGAAATTCGAACCTAGGGGCTGAACCCCACCTCAGACCAACCAGGAAGAGGTGACGTATGAAGTCCCGCCTGCCTGCTCCTTTGGGCGAATCCCTGGCTCGGAAGGCGGGGGTTAATAAAGAGGCTGTCTAATGGGAAGACGGCGCGGGGAGCACCCGCCTGGTTACTGGCCGCGTAAAGTAAACAGAGGGCAGGGCTGGGCGGGCCGGCGCCCGGGTGGCCCCCCAGGAGGGGGCGGAGTGTGCGCGGCGGGCGGCGGCGGCCGGGGAGGCCCGGGAGGCCGCGGTGCGGTCACTGCGAGCCGAGCCGAGCCGCGCCGATCGCCCTCCGGCCCCGGCTCCCGCGAGCGATCCCGGCCGGCGGCGCGGCCCGGCGGGCCCGGCGGCGCCGCAGCCCATGGAGCTCGAGAACATCGTAGCGAACACGGTGCTACTCAAGGCCCGGGAAGGTGAGGCGGCCGGGTGCGGGGAACACGGGCGCGAGGCCTCCGAGCTCCGCTGGGCGCCCCAGTCTCCAGATCCCGCAGGGCAGCGCGCTCCGCGCCCCGCATCCAGCGCAGAGGCGAGCCCTTCAGGCCGGTTGTCCTCCGCACCTGCCCCGGGGTGCCGCGGCCCAGGAAGGGGCGGGAGTCAGGCCACCGCCCTCGCGGCGCGGGCGGCGGAGGGGCGGGGGTGCGGTGAGGGAAAGAGAGAGGAAGGAAGAGGGAAGGGTGGGACCTGGGTCCTTGGAGAGCCTCTCTGAGGCCTGTCCCAGGTGATAGGTGAGAAGATGCCCCAAGAAAGGGTAGCCTACCCCACGTGTCTCAGGCCCAGATCCTAGCGCCCAGCCTGGATCCGCACAAAGTTGGTGCAGGATTAAGGTTGGAGAATGAATGAGCGGAGCCACTACGGTACCACAGCCCACCTGGTTTGGGGGTAACTGCTGGTCACATAGGTTGCTTTGTGCTTCAGGACACTGGGGACAGAGGTGAATGGGTCATGATTTTTGTCCTCAGGAAGCCCACGGTTTAGTGGGATAAACGGGCACAGAAATAAGTGGAAGCTGTGTTTTGAAGGCAGAGAGCATGTGGGGCTGGCAGGACTTAGTGCAAGGCCTGGCAGAGGGAGCAAGTGTGGTGAGTGTGTACCGAGCTTCTCAGGACTTCCGCCCCAAATGTTAGGAGACACCTGCTCTCTGAAGGTCCTGTGAGACACAGAGGACCAGACCAGGTCCTCACTGCCTTCTGGGCAGTCTGGCCCTAACCTGCCATGGTCCACCTCAGTAACATAATCACGGAACACTCATTCTGTGCCCTGTCCCGTCTAGGGTGCTGGGGACCAGCGGTGAACAAGACCCTTCTTTTTTGAACTCTAGGGCAGGGAGGTCATGACATGGTCATTTTCCACTCTTTGCTGGGCTTCCAGGCTGAGTCATCTGCTTCACTTTTCTGCTCCATTTTACAGATGGGAAACAGGCTCAGACTAGGGACTAGCCCCCAAGTCATACAGTGAGACTGTGGTTGACCCAGGCCTAGGACACAGGATGTCCCCAATATAGTCTGAAGGCAGCCCAGAGGAGCCCTCAAATGGCACAGCATCTGGTACCCCTTGCCTGCCTAGTGTGTGTTGCCCCCTGGGAGGTGCTGCCTGGAAGTAGGCATGGCAGGCTGGGTCCTTAGTGCCCAAAGCCTTCCTTATCTCCTGTCCCTTATCGAGTCTCAGGGCTAGGCCTTCCTCCTAGCCTCTGGGGGCATCTGCCGATTCTGTTCTGCCTCGTCATCTAGCCAGCTAGGGAGGAGGGGTGGGGAGAGCCTGGCCAGGCCTCCCTCCCTAGGGCTGTAGCCAGTTCGGGCCTCAGGCCTGCTGGGAGCACTGCCTTGACCGGCTGGAGAGTATGACACCTCAGGACAGGCTTCCTCAGGCCTGGGTGAGGTGTCGTGGGGTATGGCCAGACCTGGACTGCTGCCTTCCCTGGAGAGCCCATACCCAACCTGGTTCTGCCCCTCCCACCTGCATGGTTCTAGACAAGTCTCTTCTCTCTAAACTTCAGTAACCCTTTTTGGGGAATGGTTGGGGATGGGACATGAACACTAAAAGAAATCCCTGTTGTCACTGAGCCCTAAACTCTGGCCCATAGACTGGTGGCATTGGAATCCCTTCATCAGCTGGCTGACAGCTTGGGGCCTGGCCTTTGCCACCTCCCCAAGGGGGTCTGAGGCCCTGAGTGGTTTGGGAGCCCTCGGATGGCTGGCATGGCATGTTTGGGGTGGGGAGGAAGCATGGGTTGTGGTCCTAGGGAGCTGGGTTTGAATTCTGCTTCTGGCACCTCCAGGCTTGGTTATCTTGGACAAATTAATTCCTCATTTCAAGGCCTCCGTTTTCTCATGAGGTTGTACCTAGTGTGGCAGCATTGCTGAGGATGAAGTAGGGCAGCACTGGTGGGGGAAAGAGGGGAACAAGCCCTTGTTTAGTCCTCCTTCCTTGCCCAGGCACCCAGAGGCACAGGGAGGGGGCCAGCCTAGGCCAGGGAGGAGTCCCACTGACTCTTGGTGGCAGTTCCAGGACAGGATATTTGCATGTGACTCTTGCTGCTGCCTTGATGTGGCTGGGAGGAGGGGGAGGAGGAAGTAACTGGTGGGGGGAGGCCAGCGGATGGAGGGTTGGGTGAGGGACCTGTGGGGGTGGGGGAGGAGTTCCCCTTCTGGGGAGGCCTTGCCCAGGCTTGGGGGTGGGGGTTTGTTGCTCATTCACAGTGGAGCAATGACTGTGGGGTACGCTGGGTGCAGGCTGCTGCAGGGCTGCTAGTGGGTTTCCCAATGGGTGTCCTGCAACATTTCCTCCTCCAGGCGGCTTAGGTCACAGAATCCAGGGAGGCACCCAGCTCTGCCCCATCCCTGGAGCAGCCCCTTCCCCTGTGCCACCTGCCTTCTAGTCAGGCCAGATGAAAATAAGGCTGGCTAAACCGAGGGGAAACTGAGGCCAGGCAGGGTAAAGTGGCTGCCTGAGCTTGACATGAGTTGTTGGAGCCGAGGCCCTCCTCTTGCCCCAGCCCTGCAGAGTACTAGACACAGACTGTCCCTGTCACCCTGACAACACTTCTGGAGGCGGCTTTGGATCCAAAATACCTATGAGGATATAGAGATCCATAGAGGGCAAGTGATGGGCCTTAAAGTGTGAATTAGAGATTCAGACCTTTGTGGGGCTCCAAGACTCCGGCCCTTCCATTTTCAACCTCCTGGCCCAGGGGCCACATCTGGCTAGCTCTCTATCAGGTTTCATTCATTTGGCTGCAGTGGGTTTTTACAAAAAATACAAACCAGTATTTCCCGTAACAGTCCAGATTCCCAGATTCCCAGCTAGCCACACTGAGCCTGCATTCCTGCCTGGCAACAACCCAGGCATGCGCGGCCCAGTTCACCACACTCCCCACCACTCCCTATTGTCTCCCACCTGGCCCACATTTACTGTCCCATCTGGCTCTGTAGGCACCTGGGCTGCTACTCTGGTCTCAGCAGCTACAGGTAGGGAGTCAGCTGGGTAAAATGAGGCAGGTATCAGAGCCACGGAAACCCTTGTGTACTGAAGTGGGCACCCCGAATGCCAGCCCTCTTGCCACCACATTGTTCGAGTCTCTGATAGTTCTGGTACAGGGCCAGATAATAGGGACCTGAAGCCTTCCCAGGGACCCAGGCTGCCCTATGCCTCTGGCATGTCTCAGGCGTGTCCCACATGTCCTGGAGTCTCTTCCTTCTGTGCCTTGACTTACCTAGTTCCCACCACTATTATGTCCTCTACTTTCTTCTCCTGGGAACCTCTTACCTGGTAGGAAGCAGCTAAGGCTTCCTGGAAGCCCCCCCTCCATACACACCATCCCCATCCCCTACTCCCAGTGGCCTGTCCCTGCTACCCTCTTGGCTCTTCCGGCTCAGGACCCCCCCCCCCAGCAGGAAGGCCCAGGGGACTGTGTGTGTCCTGGAGTCCAGCAAAGGCATGCTGATGCATGTGGGATGAAGACCTGAGGTGCCTCCTAGAGTGGGCTGAGCCCAGAAGGCCTCCGGATGCCCCACGTGGGGAGGGAAGCGGTGGGACTGGAGACCCAGCATCCGTTTGCTCCCACAGGTGGTGGTGGGAATCGCAAAGGCAAAAGCAAGAAATGGCGACAGATGCTGCAGTTTCCCCACATCAGCCAGTGTGAAGAGCTGCGGCTCAGCCTCGGTGAGGCCTGGGTGGAGACTCGGGGTGCTGGGGAGAGCCTCCCCTGAGACCTCAGCCTGGGGCAGGCAGGGTTGGGGGGTTCTGGGGAGCAGGAAGATTGAGGCTGCACCACCCAACCCAGTTTCAGTTCCTGGGTTTGAGATGGGTGGAGAACACAGTGCAAACAGGACAGCAGAGGTGGTTGGGTGGGTGGGTAGTAGGAGTAGGGCAGGGTCAGATTTGGGACAGTCTGAGAAAGCAGAGGGTCAGGCCTAGGGTTTGAGGGACAGAGGGCATAGCGGAGGCTGGAGCCAGCCCAGACGGGGACTATGTGAGGATCCCCAAGCCCATGTTTAGCACAGGCCACCTCAGAGTGGTATGAGTGGCAGGTGTGGGGGAGGGGGCAGCAAAACCTAGACCAGAAGGGCCAGGACCCCTGCTTATCTTGGCTGAGGCCCCAGGTCTGCACAGCACCCAAGGTTACCTAGGCCCCTCTGACAGCTTGCACGTGGGCAAGGAGTATACCATGGCTGCTTCCACGGCCTAGGAAGGAGGCCCAACCTCGAGCTCGCCGGAAGCCACAGCTTCCTCCTACACTTTCGCCAGGCAGGCAGCAGGTTTGGGCCTAGCTTGGGTCGGGCCGGAACCTCACAAACCACACCCAAACCCAGCACTGTGACATCTGTAGCTGGTGTGAACCAGGAGATAGCAGGTGGAGGTGAGGGCCTAGCTCTGGGGGCATACTCCTGGCTGTGTGACCTTGAGGTAATGACTTGGCTTCTCGGCCTCAGAGTCCCAAGCTGTGATGGAAATAAGAGTAATGTCGGCATACCTGGGTGGCTCAGTTGGTTAAGTGTCTGCCTTTGGCTCAGGTCATGATCCCAGGGTCCTGGGATGGAGTCCCACATCCGGCTGTCTGCTCAGCAGGGAGTCTGCTGCTCCCTCTGCCTGCCACCCCCCCTGCTGTGCTCGCTCTCTCTGGCAAATAAATAAATAAAATCTTAAAAAAGAAAACAAAAAGAGTAATGCCCACCTCAGTGTTGTGGTGAGGGTTCTAAAGGAGATAATGGCTTCCATACTACAGGGCTGGAAGCTGCTACTGGGGCTCAGGGCCTGGTGGTATGGACCGGAGGGCCCCACCGGCAGGCTCCAGGTCTGGGAACCCAGTAGCTCCTACCCCTGCTTGCAGAGCGTGACTACCATAGTCTGTGCGAGCGGCAGCCCATCGGGCGCCTGCTATTCCGTGAGTTCTGCGCAACGAGGCCCGAGCTGACCCGCTGCATTGCCTTCCTGGATGGAGTGGTGAGTGCAGCCCAGGCCAGCCCCGAGGGTGGGCAGGGGCCCCTAGGCCAAGTGTGTTCCATCTCCCCACACCTGTTGTTCTGCCCAGACCCCAAGCTTCCCTGCCTTCCACCCTGCAGGCCGAGTATGAAGTGACCCCCGACGAGAAGCGGAAGGCCTGTGGGCGGCGACTAGTGCAGAATTTTCTGAGCCACACGGTGAGTGAGCAGTGATGAGGGAGGACAGCAGTGGGCAGAGCTCAGTGATGGGGAGAGGAATGACTACAGCCTGGGCAGAGAGTGCTCTGGAGCTAGTCCAGGTTCACCAGGCAGACCTCGGGCAGAGAGCCCAGGAGGGTGGGCCAGGCCGGGCAGTCTGCCAAGGGTTCTGCTTCACCCTGCCTCAAGGGTAGCATGGAACTGAGTCCAGCAACTGGGCAGGCTGGCGCAGCACTCGCCTACAGCAGGCCAAGGGAGCCCCCTGCACTGACCACTTTATTGCCTGTCCCTAGGGTCCTGACCTCATCCCTGAGGTCCCCCGGCAGCTGGTGACTAATTGCTCCCAGCGGCTGGAGCAGGGGCCCTGCAAAGACCTCTTCCAGGAGCTCACCCGGTAAGCCTCTCCCTGCCCACAGGCCTGGAATTGTGTCCTGAGGAGGGGGCTTCTGTGGGCCTGGAAGGCTGTGAACAGTTCAGCAGCTGGGGAGGGAGCTCAGCCTCCCACCCTGGCTTTGCACATGCTGTGTGAGCTTGGACGGGTTGCCTTGCCTCTCTGTGGGCATCTTCAGCTTCTGCGGGGTGCATGCCTCCCGCCTTATCGGGTTAGCAATGCACATAACAGGGGTCTGGCCCAACAAGCTGAGAACCTGGGGGTTCAGAGGCTGACCCACGGGCTGGGCCCTCTCAATAGGCTGACCCACGAGTACCTGAGCATGGCTCCTTTTGCCGACTACCTCGACAGCATCTACTTCAACCGTTTCCTACAGTGGAAGTGGCTGGAAAGGTGAGTGCCTTGAAGGCTGGGCCTCGGTAGGCTAAGTTGCTGGAACTCTCACAGGCCTTGGGCCCCTGCTTAGCCAGTGTTTGCTCTGAAATCCCTTGCCCACAGGCAGCCAGTGACCAAAAACACCTTCAGGCAGTACCGAGTCCTGGGCAAAGGCGGCTTTGGTGAGGTGAGTGGCCAGGCCAGAGCCCCTGATGGGGAGGGGAGGTGGGGTACAGTGGGCCCTGGACCAGCACCCTTTCCCTGAACTCCTATAGCCCCAGAAAGGGCACAGCTGGTTCCTATTTGCCCATCTGCCTTGGCTCCAGGTGTGTGCCTGCCAGGTTCGGGCAACGGGCAAGATGTACGCATGCAAGAAGCTGGAGAAGAAGAGGATCAAGAAGCGGAAAGGGGAGGCCATGGCACTGAATGAGAAGCAAATCCTGGAGAAAGTGAACAGTAGGTTTGTAGTAAGTACAGACAGGAGACCCCTCCCTTGCTCCTGGCCATGCATTTGCCCTGCCCTCCCCACGCCCTGCTAGGTCTCCTCCTGCCCTGCCCCATCCCCTCCAGGCACCACCTTACCACCTTCTGAGATGCCTGGAAAGGGCGGGTTTGGGTTGTTGACACCAGGCCTGGGGAGCAGGCTGGGTCCCAAGGACTGGAACTGAGAAGGATTTTTTGGGTGGCTGGTGCCAGCCCTTTCACCGGGTGGCCTCTGGTCCCTGCTTGAGGGCTCCGGTCGCCTTGACCACAGGTGAGCTTAGCCTATGCCTACGAGACCAAGGACGCGCTGTGCCTGGTGCTGACGCTGATGAACGGAGGCGACCTCAAATTCCACATCTACCACATGGGCCAGGCTGGCTTCCCCGAGGCGCGCGCTGTCTTCTACGCCGCGGAGATCTGCTGCGGCCTGGAGGACCTGCACCGTGAGCGCATCGTGTACAGGTGACGGCCCTGGGCCTGCCCACAGGGGGCGCTGCAGTGGGGGCGCGGGCGGAGGCTGCCAAGGCACACGGGAGCCCGTTTGAGCCCTGCCACACTTGCCCATGCCCAGTGCACTTGACCGCCTCTGGGTCTGGCTCACTCCCGTGAATGCTGGTGTTGTCACCCCTCTCTGTGTGACCCTGGGTTAGTCGGCTCCCTGCTCTGTATGCTCTTTACTTTTCTGGGAAGCAGAGACTCTTAATTCCTGCCTTGCAGGTGGTTTTAGGGGCCAAATGAGATAACGAGGTAAAGTGCACAAAGCCCGGCGTTAGGCGCTTGTCAGCGGACAGCTTTGCCTGTCATTACGGGCAGTGATTTCATTTGAACCTCACAATAGCCCCATGAAGGGACAGATGAGTAGCCCCATTGGACAGGAAAGGTAGAGTCAGCCACCAGAGTGGTGGGGGAGGGTGGGACTACATCATCACCAGTGGAGAACAAGGCTCCTGCTGCTGTCCCCCCACGTGGGAGCTGCTCTCCACTTGCCTGGGGACTCCCAGGAAGGGTGGTCCTGACTGGACAGATCCTGGGGCCGCTCCCTCAAGTTGGGGCTGCTGAGAGGGAGGGCAGGGCTGCCTCTCAGACCAGCAATAAATGGCTCCCGCACCTTCCTGCACATTCCATCCCAGGAGACAAGTGAGCTAGGAGGTGGTGGTGTCAACATCTGACCCTGCCCTTCTCTCCCCACAGGGACCTGAAGCCGGAGAACATCCTACTGGATGACCACGGTGGGTGGGGGGGGCCTCAGAGGTGGGGTGCTATGGAGTAGGGCAGGGTCTGGCTCACTTGCTTCATGCCCCGCCCTCCCCCGTCCCGCTTCTCCACCTACATTCAGGTCATATCCGAATCTCTGACCTGGGGCTGGCGGTGCACGTGCCAGAGGGCCAGACCATCAAGGGTCGTGTGGGCACTGTGGGCTACATGGGTGAGTCTCCCTCTGCCCTGACCGCCTTGCCTCCAGGGTCCCCTTGCTGTCCTGGCTGGGCCCCACCACTTCTGTTTGGGAGTCTTCTGTGTCTTGGGGAGTAGAGAGAGCTGATAGCCTCTTGTATAACTTATGCCCGAGACTCAGCCAGGAGCCCCCCGACACCTGCGGATACGTGTTCATTCACCAGATACTGAGCTCCTGCTCTTGGCTGGGCTTGCCGGTGGCTACCAAGAAGGATGAGAAGGGGCTGAATTTAGCGTCCCTGTCCTGCCCTCTCCTGAACTGCCCAGGTCCTGAGAGGAAGTGCCCATCTGCAGGGCCAAGATGGGCCCCGTATTTCCCTTGGAGACCATGAGACACCGCAGACAGAGCCCCAGTTGCAGGGCCCCACCTCTTTTTGTGACGTGTCCTCAGGCCACATACTGCTGCTCCCAGCCCCACTTGGCCCAACTGTAGAGCAGCCATAGTGGCTCCCAGAGTGGCCTTGAGGATGCAGAGAGGCAGGAGGGGCAGAGATCCCCGTGTGCCCCGCCCGGCAGGTGTAGGTATGCGGCAGGTGAGTCTCTTCTATACTAAATCCCAAGATTGCAAACATAATCACACAGGCCTGATGTGGCCTACATTTGTATTTAAATCAAAGTGTTTTGTTTTTTTTTTCAAAGATTTTATTTTTATTTATTTGACAGAGAGAGAGATATCACAAGTAAGCGGAGAGGCAGACAGAGAGAGAGAGGAGGAAGCAGGCCCTCCGCTGAGCAGAAAGCCCGATGCGGGGCTCGATCCCAGGACCCCGGGATCATGACCCGAGCCGAAGGCAGAGGCCTTAACCCACTGAGCCACCCAGGCGCCCCAAATCAAAGTGTTTTTAAAACAACTGGAATGGGTTACCAACATATGATAGGCTGGACAGCCTCACCTTAAAAACACAGATTTCTGACTTCTCTTGAAAAGTTGCCAAATCTGGCCTTCTGCAGGGCCACATTGGCCCCTTTTGGTGGGGCAGGGGCCATCCCATGTGCTGACGTCCCTCCCAGGCGGTGCCTGCCGCCGGGCCCTCACTCCTCTTTTCCCCGCTGCCCAGCTCCAGAGGTGGTGAAGAATGAACGGTACACATTCAGCCCAGACTGGTGGGCGCTGGGCTGCCTCCTCTATGAGATGATCGCAGGCCAGTCCCCCTTCCAGCAGAGGAAAAAGAAAATCAAGCGAGAGGAGGTGGAGCGGTTAGTGAAGGAGGTGCCTGAGGAATACTCGGAGCGCTTTTCCCCGCAGGCCCGCTCGCTCTGCTCCCAGGTATGGTGGCCGTTAGGAGGCAGGCTGGCTAGGCGTGGAGATGGGGTGGGGGTGGTACACGGCGGCCTCCTTGCCCGGGCCACCTCGACCGCCCCTGCCCCACTGTAGCTCCTGTGCAAGGACCCCGCTGAGCGCCTGGGGTGTCGTGGAGGTGGTGCCCGCGAAGTGAAGGAACACCCCCTCTTCAAGAAGCTGAACTTCAAGCGGCTGGGAGCTGGCATGCAGGAGCCACCCTTCAAGCCTGACGTTAGTGCTTTCCACTCCTGCTGAGGGCGGGCCGCACTGCGCTGGGGCAGGCGGTGGAGGGCTCGGGTTTCAGGGCTCTCGGAGGCGCGGTCAGGACACCTTCAGTTTAAGTGTCAGGAAACCCAACCCAAATGGCTCGGCCGACAGGACAGAATTCAGTGGGCTCTCACAGGTGGAAAGCCTCAGGATTGATCTTGCTTTGGGCATGCCCGGACCTGGGGCTCCAGCAGTGTTGCCAGGGATTCCCTCTTCCTCTCCCCCACGCTGGACTGGCCAGCGTGCGGTCTTTACTCTCTGGCAGCTCTCTCTAGGGTATGGCAGTGGTAGACCCAGCATTTCAGGTCCACGTCCTACCAGCTTAGCCAGCCCAGGAGACACAGTGTACCTCTTGCCCAATAATTTCAAAAGTAGTCCTAAAACAGGGGGAAAAATGTCCTAAATCTAATGCTTATTGCCACTGATTGTTCGGAAGCCCCTCAGCGGCCACACTTGGATCACTTGCCCACCTGACCCACAGCGAGTGGGGGAGGTTGGGTTCCTGATGGAAAACCAACATGCCTGTTGTCAGCAGGGGTCAGGGGCTGAATATCAGCGCCCACCACACCTCGTGGTGCTGATGTCACCCTTGCAGAGTCTCACCCATTTACTGAGTATCTTGGGGGGTTAGGCGTCCCATGGGCAGAGACATCCTCGAGTCATCATATTCCAGGTGGCAGAAGCCCAGCTAAAGCTTCTGTCTGGCATGGAGCTCATTCGTTCATTTGGCCAGAAGGTCATAGCGTCGAGCCCGCATCAGGGTTTCGTGCAGTGTTGGCAGGACTTGATCCCTCGGCTTTGCTTCATCCTGTGAATTGTCCTCACACTGAGTTCAGGCTTCTGTGTGTGAAGTCACAGTCACAGGGAACGTTGTGAGTGGCCAGGATAAAGTTATGTGCATGCCTTCCTCCCATGTGTAAGAGGACTGGGTCCTGGCATTGACAGGTCACTGGCAGGCCAGCCTGATGGCTGTCAGCCACACAGTGACTATGTATTCATTCGGCAAATGTCTAGTGCCCATAAGTGCCAGAGCTTGGAGATAAAGAGGTCAGCAGGACCCAGTCCTGCCTTCCTGTTGTAGAGGAGAGCATGCCGAAGTAAGAGAAAAAGAATAGCAGCTAATGTCAAAAGGATAAATGCGGCTAAGGGAGAGATAAGGAATGATGGGGGTGGGAGTATTTTTAGACAGGGTGGACCTGATGGTTAAGCAGAAGCCTAAAAATGTGAAGGAGAGAGCTGGGCCGAGTTTTGGGGTGAGAGCATTCCAGGGAGAAGGAGAAGCCTCGAGGGAAAGATCATCGAGGTGGCCAGTGTGGCAGGAGTGAGCGTGGGCTGGGAGAGGCACAGGGTTTTATTCTAAGTGTGACAGGGCCTGGGGGTGGTGGGCGGGGCTTGAGCAGGCAGGCCTGTGAGGGGTTGGGGCAGGGCTAGAGAGGGTGAGTACAAATGGGTGGCCAGCTAGGAAGAATTGTGCCTTGTTGGCCTCGCCAACATCCTGGGGTGTGGGCCTTGCTGTGAGTGATTGAACTGAGAGCAGCCTGCCTTGGGGCTGACCCCACAATCAGGTTTCCCCCTGCTTCTGGTGTACATCTTCTCATCTAACCTTGAAATCATCCCACCACCCCTGAGTCTTCAAAGTTAGAAAATCAGTGCTCTGGACTTTAACTTTTTAGACAGAACAGAGAAGAAGCAAGTTTGATACTGATACTATTTTAATAGCTTTGTTGAGATTTAATGCACATACCCTATAATTCACTCGTTTAAAGCGTGTGACTCAATGACTTTTGGCATATTCAGAGTTGTGCAGCCATCACCATAATGATTTTAGAACATTCACATCACCCCTTTCCTCCCACCCAACAAAATGAGTGCCCATTAGCACTCATTCCCCATTTTCCTCTCCCTGTGGCCTTGGCAGTCACTCATCCACTTTCTGTCTCTGTATATTTGCCTGTCCTGGACATTTCATGCAAATGGTGTTATATAATATGTGGTCCTTTGTGACTGGCTTCTTTCACTTAGTGTAATGTTTTCAAGGTTCATCAGTATTGTAGCCTGTACTTTGTTCCTTTTTTTTTTTTTTTTTTTTAAGATTTTATTTATTTGAGAGAGAGAGAGCACATGAGTGGTGGGGAGGCACAGAGGGAGAGGGAGAAGCAGACACCCCCCTGAGCAGGAAGCCTAATGTGGGGCCCGATTCCAGCATCCTGGGATCGTGACCTGAGCTGAAGGCAGATGCTTAACTACCTGAGCCACCCAGGCCCCCCAACCCCCTGCCTTTTTAAAAGACTATTTGAGAGAGAGCAAAGCGGGGAATAGGCAAAGGGAGAGGGAGAAGCAGACTCCCCACTGAGAAGGGGTTCCTTACATGGGACTCAATCATGACCTGAGCTGAAAGCAGACACTTAACTGACTGAGCCACCCAGGTGCCCCTACTTTCTTCCTTTTTTATTACTGAATAATACTCCTTTGTTTGAGTATGCCACATTTTGTTTATCAGTGGATGGACATTGGAGTTGTTCCCACTTTGGGCTTATAGTGAATAATTCTTCTATTATGAACATTGGCATGCAAGTGCTGGTGGAGACCTATGTTTTCATTTTTCTTGGATATATACCCAGGATGGAACTGCTGGCTAATATGGTAACGCTGCATTTAACCTTTTGGGGAAATGCCAGATTGTTTTCCAAAGTAGCTGTACCATTTTACATGATGATGATGTTGTTGTTTTTAAAGAATCTACTTACTTGACAGGCAGAGATCATTTCATTGGCAGAGAGGCAGGCAGAGAGGTGGGGGAAGCAGGCTCCCTGCCGAGCAGAGAGCCTGATGTGGGGCTCAATCCCAGGACCCTGGGATCATGACCTGAGCCGAAGGCAGGGGCTTAACCCACTGAGCCACCCAGGCGCCCCTTTGACAATGTTGTTTTAATTGACATCCTTAATAGTAGAATTTAGAAAACAATGCAAGGATAAAAAAGACACTGGCCTTCTGGAGTGAGGTGGGCTCCCAGGAGGGGCCCTGAGGGTGTGGGGACTTGGGAGGACTGTTCTAATCCTCGGCTTGTCTATGAAGCTTGAGGGGATAGGGCAGGCCATTGGAACATCTTGGGACAGAGGACCCATCAGAGCCAGGCCCTGCATGGGGATGCTTAGCTCAGGCAGCTAAGATCCCGCCTGCACTGTACCCCCAGACGGCTGTGTGTGGGTAGAGGGGGTGCCTGTCACTGATTCCCTAAGGCACTGCAGGGCTGCTTGGCTGCAGCCAGTCAGCTCCCATTGACAGGAGGCATGGCCTTTATGAAGCCTCACCAGTCAGAAGCAATGAGGGTTAATAACCCCCAGTTTACAGAGTGGAAAAGACCTCAACAAGAAGGGACTGCCGTGCTTAGCAAGTGCATGGGGCACCTAGTTTCTGACTCCAAATCCGAGAGCTGCAAGGGTTGGAGCACAGCCAGGCCAAGGCTCGGGTGACTTTCAGGGCTGAGCTGCCCGTGTGCATGTAGGTGGGCAAGCATATGTGTGTGCCTGCCTGTGAGTGTCTTGCTTCCGTCTGACTGCTGTTTCCGTCCGCACCAGCCCCAGGCCATTTACTGCAAGGATGTTCTGGACATCGAACAGTTTTCCACAGTAAAGGGCGTGGAGCTGGAGCCCACTGACCAGGACTTCTACCAGAAGTTTGCCACGGGCAGTGTGCCCATCCCCTGGCAGAATGAGGTAAGGAGCTGCCCAGCTGGTGGGCTGGGCTCCAGAGCAGAGGCCCGGAGCTGGCTCTCACCGCTGCCTGTGGTTGGGCAGATGGTGGAGACGGAGTGCTTCCAGGAGCTGAATGTCTTTGGGCTTGATGGCTCGGTTCCCCCAGACCTGGACTGGAAGGGTCAGCCCCCTGCGCCCCCCAAGAAGGGACTGCTGCAGAGACTCTTCAGCCGTCAGGTAAGCCCCAGTGGCATCCCGGCCCGGCCCCTCGCCTAGCTCCAGGGGACGGTGGGCGGGAGGCAGAGCTGGTGCCCGCGCGTGCTGGGAGCGGGCCTCTTCCAACCGCGCCACGTGTGCCCAGGGTCTCTGGCCTCATTCCCGCCTGTCCCCTACCCCTGGCTGGGCTCACGGCCTCTTTTCTCTTTCCAGAGGTGAGCAGTGTGGGCTCCCCGTGGGTTGGCCTTGCTGCCGGGCCTCGGGGAGCCACGGGCAGCCCTTCCATGGCAGAGGCGAGATGTGGGCGAAAGAAGTCTGGTGCCCGCTCCCCCCCTTCCCCCAACTACTTCGTTCCCTGCACCCTGGCACCTTCAAGCTGCTGGCCTCGCTTAGCCATCTGTCTCCCCATGCTCTGCCTCCACCATCTCTGGGGGAGAGGGTGTAGACAGGGCCTTGCTCTGGCGAAGCCCGAGATCTGCCTGGACCCTCTTACTTCAGCCTGCTGTCAGTATCCTCTGCGCTGATGTCCACACATGTCTGGCCTGAGCTGCTGCTCTAGGCCCCTCGCAGGGAGCCCCCAGCCCAGAGCATGGCTCCAGGCAGCTCCTGGCAGGGCCGGCCTGGGTAGTAGCACTGGTGGCTAATGGCACTCGCTCTGCCTCTCTCCCTCCGTGTCTTCCCCATCCCTCCAGGATTGCTGTGGGAACTGCAGCGACAGTGAGGAAGAGCTCCCCACCCGCCTCGAGCTCCCCACCCGCCTCTAGCCCCCAGCCTGAGGCCCCCACCGGTGGTTGGCGGTAGCAGCTACTCCGAGCGCTGTTTACAGTTTTGCACAGTGGTCTTCCCCATTGCCCACGCGAGTTGTGGCCTGGGGAACACAGCCGGAGCTGTCCCCGGTGTCCTCTGCCCCTCAGCCCCTGATCTGGCTGGGCTCGGGCAAGGCCTGGGCTGTCCCTGGGACAAAGGTGCGTCCCTTCAGCTCTTGTCTGTGGAGCTTGGGGCTTTCTGTATTTATGTATTTGTACGAATGTATATAGCAACCAGAGCGTTCTTAAGACCCACCCTGGAGCTGGCAGAGGGGCCACTGCCAAACTCAAGGCTCCTTGGGCCCAGCTTGGACAGGCCGAGACTGGGCCAGACAAGGCCCTTGAGCCCCCAGCACTGTGCTCGCCACCGCCGACCTCCGAGTGAGACTCATGCCTGCCTCTGCCGCCCTGGGCTCGGGCCACCACCTCTGGGGTCCATTGTTGTCCCTTCTCAGCACTTGTCAAAGCTGGATCTGGGGCCTCTGTATCCCCTAGGCCTGTGCCAAAGTGTGACCAGAGATTGGGCTGACCCTGGGACCCATCAGTCCACTGCCCAGGCTGTCCCAGATGGGTCTGCCTCTGCCTTCCAGCTCCCAGGGTGCCTCGTCCCTCATGCTGGGCCCTGTCCTGAAGACACCTCTTGCAGAAACGCCCCAGGCAGTGGGAAGGGGGGAGGAGGTTGTCCCTGGCCAACTTTCAAACATTCCAGACTCCCCTCTTAACAATAGACATGTGCCCAGCAATAATCCATCCCTCCCTGTGTGTGCCTGTGGGGTATGTATGTGAGCGTGTGCGTGTATGTGAAGGGGATTGGCCGAGGTGTGTGTGTGCCTGCACTCCAGGCCCCGATTCTGGTCCTTCCCAGGTGGTAATGGCCATCCTGGTCCCAGTGTTAGGGTAGCATGGGATTATAGGGCCCTGGTTTTTCCGTATTTAAAGCCAATTTTTATGACTCGTTTTGTCCAATGTAAGCTGCCACGTGTCTCTGAGTGAATACAGTCTGAGCACAAACCTGGCCAGCCGCCCTGCCTGCCTCTTTCTTGCTCCTGGTGTTCCAGGGGTCTTTCTGCTTCCCTCGCCCTGCTGGAAGTGGGAAGGGATTAGAGGTGGGCCTGGTGGGGCTACCCTTCCAACATGCCCTGCACCCCCTCCCCCTGCCCCTTAAGCTGATCTTGGACTAGCCTCTCCAGGCGGCCAGGCCTCAGTGGCCTTTGGGCTCACCAGTGAGTTTCTCAGCTTCCTAAATGGGATGGGGCCTGAGGGAAGAAGCCTTGGGTCCCCACTAGGTTGAGAGTTTGGCTCTACCTGGACTGGGGAGGCAGGTTTAGCTGGAAGGGTCCCCTCCATGGCCAGGGTGGTCTGGTGACCAGCTGTGGGCTTGGAGTAGCCTGGGGAGCAAGGTGGAAGCTGCTGTTAGAAACATCCGCCAGTGCTGTCCTACCCGGACACCTATTGTGTTTGCAGCCCAGGGCCAGCGAACTAGAGCCATCCCTCAGCCCTGGAAGCAGGAAATGTGGCGGGCAGAGGTGAGACAGTGGTGATGCTGGGAGTTAGGCTGTGGCAAGTGTGGGTGGGGACCAGCCATGAGGGCATTAGGCAGGGTTCTCTGAAAAGCTGAGCCAGGTCTTAAAGGAGACTTATTCACCTGGGGGCAGAGGGATTGGGGAACATTCCATAGCATTCCACCTATGCAGTGAAGGAGAGGACAGTCTTGACAAGTCTGACCCAGACTTCATAGATCTGTTGCCATACCATAGTCTCCCAGTGCTCCCAGCCCTCTAAGGATGCTTTATAACCACATTAAGGGTTTGTTCCTTGCCTGTGGGCTGGGACCAGTGCCATAGGTCCACATGCAGTCAGACAGTTCTGGGTTCAAGTCAGCCAGGCCACTTTTCAAGCTGGCTTTGCATAGGCCCTTCCCTTGTCTAGAAAAGTGGGTGTGATACCCATCCCCTCTCAGGGCAGCTGTGAAATGAGAATCTGTGAAAGCAGCCTATCACCTCCTTTTGCCCCTGGGTCACTGACAGGACTGTTGCCAATTAGGGGAGTGGGTGCTGGATGCCAGGCTGACAGCCATCTCAAGGGCATCCAGAAAGTTCTAAGCACTGACTTAGTGTGGAAGGGGCCTCTCTGGTGGTGGCCCACTTCTTGATGGTCTGTAGAGCGTGTGCTGCTGCTTCCGTTAACTTGAGGGAAACGGGAGAGGGCCATGCCCACGGTCTTCCAGCTGGTCAGCTGTTGTTGCACAGTGGCAAGGAAGCCAGCCAAAGGTGAAGTTGGATCCAAATCATGATGTGTGAAATTGGGGCCTGAGGTGCATTTGCCCTTCTATTTTGGTGGGAGGGCAGTTAGGTTATCAGTTGGCTGAAGCCCAGCCCTGAGCAGGTGTATAAGGGCGAGTGGGTACCAGTTGTACCAGTAGGTCCCTGGAGCACTCTGCAGATGGGCAAGACCTCCCTCCGAGCTCCCCGCCTTGGGCTAGAGAGGCATCCAGGGAACTTGTTGGCTACAGTTCAGCTCACCTTAAAGCTCTTGGCACAGTGAGTCCAGCTCTGTGGTGGGAGCTGGGGACCCAGATGGAGACAAGGGCCCCACCAGTTTGGAGCTCAGCCTGGTAGGGAGACGGAAATGGGAACAGTTTAAGACCCAGAGTGATCAGCACTGTGGCGGAGATAGTTCTAGAGCTGGCAGGGCTGGGAATGCTAAGTGGCTGGGGCTGGGGGTCAACGCCAAGCAGGGAGGCCTCTTGGAACAAAAGTCTCAGAATTGGTGCCTTCCAGGACACAGAAGCAGATGTACCTGGTTGGAGGAGCCATATGGATGGTCTAGGACCTCCTAGATGGCTAGATGGCTTAGGATGGCTTGAGGTGGAGTGGGTGGTTATGGGTGGGTAAAGGAAGCAAGTGGAGCCAAAGTCCGTGAGCACCATGCAGGGCTCTGAAACCCATGTTGAGGATGTGGGGCCTCATCTAGAAGGCAGGGGCAGCCCTAGAGGATTTCAGCTGGTTGTGTTGGGAAGTCTGCCTAGGATGTACAAAAAGCACCCCATGTTTACTTTGGGAAACCTCCTGTCTTAGTCCATGTGGTTTCGATGGGGCTGGGTTTGCACCCCCTGCATACATAGACACCTAAAGTGTGTGAACCAGGTGAGGCTGTTAGAGATCTTTGGTTGCAAGTGACAGAACGGTCCTCCAACTAACAGAGTGTTAAAAGGATATGGGGGAACATGAAGAACCAGGACTGGGACTGGGGCACTCCAGGGTCTTAGTCACAGACCCCATTCTCATCAGGATACAATCCCCAGTAGCAAGATGCAACAGCCATGTCCATGTCTGCATTGTTGAGCTGGACTGCAAACCCAAGGAGCCCAAAAGGTCCAGCAGGAAATCTCACTGTGCACTCAGGGAGAAGGACCCTTGGGTTCAAGGGCCCAGCCTGATGACACCCATGGCATGCAGTCAGCCCCCCTGATGAAATAGGGTGCTTATACCCAACAAGAAGGAAATGGGTACTGGGTGGCTGGACATATATCCCCTCACCTGGGCATGACCAACTGGATTCGTTCACCAATGGACACTAAGCCAAAGAGTCTTTTGGAGGGCTTTGCTAGAACTATTGGGAAAGAATTGGGGTTCTGGGGTTGGGTGGCAGGATATACACCAAGAGCCGTGGCGTCATTCTTGTCACCACCTAGGAATTTTCAAGAATGATGCAAACAGAAGAATGCAGAGAGGAGAGAACAGTTACATGTCTGATACCATTGTGGGGACACCTGGAACCAATTGTAATCACAGCTAAAATCTGCCTCTGGACTTTTCAGTTAGATGAGTCAAACACCTCTGGGCTCAAACCTATTTGTTTTGGGGTTCTGTCACTTGCAAATCAAAGTGTCCTAGCTGTATGATGGTGGAGGGTGTTTTTGGAAGATCACCGTAAGTGTGACAGAGAAGTTGGACCAGAAACAACCCAATTAAGAGAGACTGATGAACCTCCAGGTTTAGACTCCCCCTGAACAGTGGGGCCCTTACTAGGCCTCACTGCTATTCCTTGAGGATGAGTGGGGTCCATGAAGACCAGGGCTGTGTTCTTCCTGTGCCACTTTTTAGTAGACGTGTGGTGATGTATATTCACTGGGGACACACTGGGAGGGGCTGTGAGTTTGGAGGGGACCGTGTATTGGTAAGCTGGAACGACACTGGGGGGCCGGCCTGCTCCAACCCTTGCCCAGCGCATGTGTGCAGTGCCTCTCAGGATGTGGCCGCTGCGTGGACGTGTGTGTGTTTTCCGGGTTGAAGAGAGAGAGTGTGTGTGTGTGTGTGTGTGTGTGTGTGTCAGGGTCCTTGACCTCGGCTGTTCGGCTTGAGCATCATGTGTGCTCAGCCAACTGTGTACACCCCGTCTGCCTGCGTGCGCCCCGTTCCGGACAGCCTGTTGCCAGGAGCTGTGGCGCGTGCTTTCCCTGTGCAGGGTGAGCCCGGCGCCCCGCGTGCGAGTCTCCACGCGGCAGGTGGGTGCCAGGTCCTCCGCCTCCGGCTCCCAGGACAGCCTCCTCGGCTGCGAGTGCCTGGGGGTGGGGGCCCTCTGTCGGCTGCCGCGCGCGCGCGCACGCCGGGCTGGTACGCGCCGTGTACGCGCCCGTGCGCGCGCCCCACGGCTCCAGCCCAGCGCTCGCAGCCGCCTTCGTGCCACAGCCAGCTCCCGGGTGCCGCCGCCGCCTCCCCCACGGCCGGGGGCTCTGTCCGCGGAGCCCGCGCCACTTGCCCCGAGCCAGGAGGACGAGCTCGAGGAGGATGCCTGGGCCCGTGAGTACCGCGGCGGCGGCAGGCCGGGCGGGCCCGGAGCGCGGGAGGAAGATGATCCCGGGCTGAGCCCCTCCCCGCGGGCAGCTCCGCGCTCTGGCCCTGGGTCGCCGCCCCGGACCCCCCGCCCCGGCCAGCCCCTCCCCCAGCCCACTCCGGAGGTAGGGAGGGAGGGGAGGGAGGGAGAGAGAGGGAGGGCGCCAGTGAGCGAGGGAGCCAAAGCCGGGCGCGAGCCGCCACCGGTTCGCTTGGAAACGGTTGCCACAGCAACGGGGTTGCGCTCCCCGGCAACGCGGCTGCGGGGCGGCGACGCCCCCTCCCACCCCTCCCCCACCCCAAACGGGTCCGCAGCCTAGGGGCGCAGGGGAAGAGGGGGTGCGGAGACTACCCCTGGAGCGGTGGGGGTAACTTCGCCAGTCTGGGTGTGCCTGCCTCCACAGCTCGTCGAAGATGGGGGTGGGGGGTGAGCGGCCCCGTGGGCACGAGCTGGCTCCCACGTGGCTGCAGTCGTCGCAGCAGGGCTCCTGGGGTGGCTGCAAACGTGGGGGCGGCCCAGCCCCTGGGCCTGCCTCGGGAGGAGGAGGCTTGGAGGCTGGGTCCGGCGTCTGCGCTCCAGCACCCCCACCACCTCTACCACCTCTCGCCTGCGAAATAGCCTGACCCGAGTTGGGTGCCACAGAGGCGATGTTCCTTACCCAGGGAGAAGAAAGAAGCTCACATCCTCCTCCTCACGGCCAGGGCATATGTCAGACCGCGGCTAGGGCCGGTTGTGGGTTTCTGCTCCGTGTTCCAAGCCACCATTCTCCTGGGAGTGGTGGGAGCAGAGTGGGCAGGAGCAGAGGAAAGGACATTGCTGACCCAGGGAAGATGAAGCTCAGGCCAATGGGAGCGCCCTGGCCCATTGTCTGGATCACAAGTGTCCCTTTCTTGTCTGAGCACAAAGCCCAGACTGTACTGGGTGGCATGCAGGTTGGCTGGCAGGCAGGCCAGTGCCACATGGAGATGCTCTGTCCTCCAGGGGAGCTCCTCTGGGAGGAGAATGGCCGCTGAGTCAGAGGAAATGACCTCTGGCTCCTCTCCCAACCTCCCCCAGCCGGCAGTGGCCGAGTGCTGGGGAGAGAAATGGTCCTCCTGCCAGCTCTCCCAGACCTGACTCAGCAGACGCCCGCCTCCAATCGTAGACCTTGCACTCAACATCCCAGTGACCACAACCATCCTTGGGTTTCCTCTCCCATCCAGAAAAGTGTCTTGGGCACCAGAGATGACCATCATCCCAGGCATTTGAGGCCTTGGCATAAGATGCCCTTAGATGGGTGGTGCCCTGAGTCAGTCCTGAGTCTCCCTCCTGCAGGCAGGAATGCCTTTGGAATTATTCACCGGCTCATTTCATTCTGTCCTGGCTCTGTGTGAGACTTGTGTTGAGTGTTCTGCATCCATTATCCCTTAATCCTTTCATTGGTTGTACAAGGTAAGTTTATTATCCCCATTTTAGAGATGTAGACTCCCGAGGCTCAGAGAGGTAAAGTGATTTCCCCAGGGTCACACAATCAGTAAGTTGTGGAGCTAGGTTTTCAGTGAAAGTTTTCTGCTGGCACAGCTGCTCTCTGCCTGCCACACCATCTCTTGTGACCCAGGCAGAAAAGGACTGGAGGGCCTTCTAGAGGAGCAGCCTTAACTTTCTTTCATATTCTTCCAGTGAGGAAATTACCATGTCTTTCCAGCCTTAGCACACCTTGCCTTCTTCCAGCAAACTCAGCTAGATTCTTGCTCACCCAGATGCTCTATGGGACTGTGATACTGCTGGGCTGGCTCCCTTCCTCCATTTTCTCTCTGGGTAAACCCGAGCAGGGAGGGCTACTTCAGTTACCTGGGAAACCCCCAAGGCCCTAGTTCTTGGTTTTGGGGCTCTGTGGCTTGATCAGCTTGCAACCTTGGCTGTGGTCGAATTCAGCAATCATGGGTCTATGTAGTGCTAGCTGCTGTGGGTGCTCACTCTAGTTCAGGGACTGGAAACCCAAATGCATCTAGGGCCCAGGAAGCAATGGAATGAGGTGGGCCAGGGAGCTACTCAGCTACAGTCTGTCTATGTCACTCTGTGAGAATGTGGACTTGGAATGACCAGAGAATTATCAAGATGAACCAAAAATCCAGACTTTTATGTAAAATCTCCTGGGTTTTAAATTTGGCAACTGATCGGAATATTTTAAAAAATTGATTGTGGGCCCAAAAACATGCCCATGATCTGTGTCCAGCCTGAGAGTCACAAGGTGGTGACCTCTGGTCTGTGGAAAGGCGATGGCAGTTTTTACTGGGCCACTCCCAGGCTTGTGTAGATGTAGCACCATGGGCTGGTTTCCATATTTGAGCCTCTTGAGGCTGCAAAGTGCTGCCATTTGGTTTGTCATGTGCAGCTGTGTACACCAGTCTTGAAGGATTTTCACTTCCTTCAGCAGTTTTGCTCCTCCCTTGCCAATGTTAGGCCGATCGCATCGCCCCTGTCTTATAGGCAAAGAAACTTCAGCCCAGGAGTGGGAACAACTGGGATGGGGCCACACAGCCTGATCAAGGCAGAAGCAGGATTTGAGCCCTAGGCTGTCCCTTCAGTGCCCTGCGTGTTACATATGCTGCCTCTCAGAAGAGGGCATCCTCATCTCCCCTTAGCCCCTGAGGTGTGGCTAATTCCCTTGGAAGGATTGATGTGGGTACAGTAGACACTGAGCCACATAGGGCCTCTCTGCCTACAAGCTGTCTGTGACCCCAGTCTCTGTTGTCCTGTTTGCAGTTTCCAACCTCTGGGTTCCAGGCCCAGTGCCAGGGTGGGGGTCACAGAGGTGTTACCTATAGGCAAGGGTGCCAAGCCAGTACCTTGGCTGAGCTGGAATGAGGCTCTGGTCAGCTCTATGCCTGGCTGACTGCGGCGGCAGTCCTCTCTCTCTGGCCTCAGTTCACGTGTCGTGGTGTGGGAGGAGTATAAAATTGTCACCAGGCCCTGCCTGAAATGCCCTTCCTGCCAGGACAGGGGGCTTTGCAGTCACCTGGGTGTCACAGCCACCTGCCTGTGTGGGCCTGAACTGGCCCCACCTCCTTTTCTGGAGAATTGGGATGGCAGCAGCCACCTCCTGGGTGTCCCTGAGATCATGAATGTGAAGAGGCCTGCAGTGGGCCTGGCATGTGCTGGGCATGCAGGACAGGTTAGCAGTAACTTCTCCCATCCCATCCTCACTCTGTACCCCACATTTGCCCTCCCTCTGTCCCCTAGTCTGAGTCCCTGTCCCTTCACTTGATCAGCAGCTCTGGCCTTATATCTGGGGAACGTTATGACCCAGAGCCCTGCTGTCTGGGATTCCCTCCGTCCATTCCAGAGCCCCTGACATAGGCTTCTAGTTTCCTCTTGTTCACATGGATACAGGGATCCTCATCTCATTTGTAAACTGGCTTGCAAGGGCCAAGAGCTGGATGATGGCATCTCTCTCAGTGACTTTCTGGTAAACAGCTGACCTTTCCCAGGAGTGAGTGGGTTTCAGACCCAGCTCCTGAGGTGCTCCCTGTCCTACGGCTAAAAGACCAAACAGGGAACTGGGCATCATCCAGTCACCCCAACAAGTGGTGTTGGAGCGGCTACATGCCAGATGACAAGACAGATGCCACCTCTGGAGTTGCACACAAGCAGCTAGAGCACACTGCCCTATCCCTGGGCTTCTTATCCGACCCGGGGAGTGAGGTGGCCTGGAGCTGACTTGTCCAGCAAAGTTAGAGTGAGGCCATGAAGGTGAGAAGTGTGGGGGCAAGAGCTTTGAGGCTGTGTCACAGGCCCCTCGGGGGAAGAAAGCAGGACTCTGAGCAGCTAGGATGGGAACATGGGCTGGTTGCGGAGGGAAGGGCACTGAGAGGTGAGGCTGCAGATGCCTTGGCAGGAACTCATCCCAGAAGCCATGATCTAGGTCAGTTCTTAAAGTGTGCTCTCTGGACCACAACATTAGTATCTGCTGGGAATTTGTTAGAAATGCAAACTCTCAGGTCCAACCCTGACCTACTGAACCAAACACTGGGAGCAGAGCCCAACACTCTGTTTTAACAAGCCCTCCCTATGGGTCTCATGCTCATTCAAGGTTGAGAGGCACCCATCTAAACTGTCTTAAAGAGCTGGGCTGCCTCCTGAAGTGGTGGGGAGTTGCCAGAGGGCTCAGGCAGGAGAGGGCCTGGGGGAAATGGGCAACATGGAAAGTGCGTAGGCTGGGCAGGGGCCCAACATGGAAGTAGAGAGAGCAGTGGCAAGCATGGCAACAGGGGCCCAGGTGAGAGATGATGGTGGCTTGGCCAAGGCAGTGGCTGGGGGACCAAAGGAAGTAGACAGACGAAGGCACAGTGCACTGAGCATAAAAAGAACAGGATTTACTTTTTTTTTTTTTTTTAAAGATTTTATTTATTTATTTGAGAGAGAGAGAGACAGTGAGAGAGAGCACAAGCGAAGAGAAGGTCAGAGAGAGAAGCAGACTCCCCGTGGAGCTGGGAGCCCGATGCGGGACTCGATCCCAGGACTCCAGGATCATGACCTGAGCCGAAGGCAGTCGTCCAACCAACTGAGCCACCCAGGCGTCCCGGATTTACTTTTTTTTTTTAAAGATTTTATTTTAGAGAGGGAACATGACCAGGGGGAGGGGTAGAGGGAGAGAGGGACTCTCAAGCAGACTCTGTACTGAGCACAGAGCCCGATGTAGGGCTCAGTCTCAGACCCTGAGATATGACGTGAACCAAAATCGACAGTTGGATGCCTAACTGAGCTGCCCAGGCGCCCTGCAAAAGACCAGGATTGAATGGATGGTGGGCCGTTTACTGAGATAAAGGATTTAACAGATCTTCGGGGTCTAAGACTGGATTGGTGGGGTTCTTCATGAAGAGGAACAAGGTGGTAGGTGCCCCCAGCAGTGTGTCAGGCCCCAGAATAAGAAATCTGTGTGACCTTGGGTACCACTGAGTCCCTGGGAACTAAGTGCTCTCATCTGTCAAATGGAATGCTAACTAGTTTGTAGGATTCCTGAGAATGATTTGTGATGTCTGGCCTTCAGGCAGAGTGCCGTAAGGACTTACACATCTCTGTATCCCCAGCTCAGAAGCCTCCATCATCCACACTCACGTTGTTGGGCATCTCCAAATCCTTGGCATGAACTAGGTCAGTTTTCACCATGGTCACTGACAAGGAGACTAGCATCATAGGGCTTAAGACACTCATCCCCTAGTATCTCATTTTTGTCCTCCCACTATACTCCCAGTGAGTGTGTGGCATAAGAAAACCATACAGAGGGGCGCCTGGGTGGCTCAGTCATTAAGCATCTGCCTTGGGCTTAAGTCATGATCCCAGGGTCCTGTGATAGAGCCCTGTGTTGGGCTCCCAGCTCAGCGGGAAGCCTGCTTCTCCCTCTTGCTCTGCCCCTGCTTGTGCTCCCTCTCTTGCTGTCTCTCTCTCTCTCTGTCAAATAAATAAAATCTTTTAAAAAAGGGAAAAAAAAAAACATACAAAGCAATACACTCACAAATTCTACAAATAAATCAAGATGGAATCCTAAAAAATATTCAAATAACCTGCAAGAAGGTAAGGAAAGAGAATGAAGAGACCAATCATAAAATGGCAGGCTTAAGGATGAATCCATCAGAAGGCACCACCCCTAGCACACAGTTGGAGCTGGACAAGTGCAGTATTGGCTCTGGACCGTCTGGAGGGGATGGGGAAGTTGTGGCTGTGAGTAAGAGGCTTCAGGTGGGGTCTGCGCAGAAGGGCTCCCTAGACAGGCAGGAACATGCACAGAAGCATGGAGGAAGCTTAGAGAAGCCTGGCCTGTCAGGAAGAGCCTCTGGAAAGGTCTGAA